CCCTACTAAGAACCAGAGAGTCTTGAAGCCTTGAAGCTTGGCGTAAGCAGGTGCATTGCGCTACCCAGCTACCCCGAACCCTGAACCAGGCATCTGTCAATACTCAAGTTTGCACTTATATATAGAAGTCGTTTGCGCACTGCCCAAATTCTAGACTCTAGACTCTTCGACCCCTTGATAAATTCACGATACCCTGCCACACAAAATCTGACAGAAACCGCTCTCCAGCCCCAGCATAAATATCTAGCACTCCCTTATACTCACTATATAATCATAGTATCGTATACCATATACCCTACAACCCTATTCTGACAATTCAGGCCCCTCTATTGCCATGCCTCCCGGTATTCATCTGGAAGGATGTCCAAGCTCACAGTGTCGCCATCTGCACTCGGCGCGGCCCAAGCCGCCACCTGAAATGCAATCCCCTTGTGTTCAGAGCGTAGGGCTTCTTGTGATAAGAGTTTAGGATTTAGGGTTTAGGGTTTACTGAACCCAGCTGCTTCGTCGTGAAAAGGATGTGAGTTTCAAGGAACTTTGATCGGTTCGTGATTGGAGGCCGCCAAATGCCTGAGTCGATGAAATGATCCTGGACGACGAAAACGCAGATCAGCGTCTCGTCTTCATTTTCCCAGATATAGCAGAGGAGTGCCATTCAGAACAGAACAATGAGAAGTTATTGCAGCAATAACTAAATCACCATCTTTTCAAGCGAAAGATCAAGCCCTGCCTCCATAAAGCAGAATTCCAGCATCCGTCGCAGCCGGAGTTGATTCTTGGGCTCGAAGTGGAGTAAGTAGAGGAGATTCTTTGCACTGTTCATCCTTGGTTCGCTTTTCAAGACCACAATCACCATGCCAGTAGCCAGTGCAATCCACGCACAAGCGTGGAGCGTGAGGGCAGTGGACGCTATATCCCTACATTGAAAGGCGCAAAGAGATAAGACGAAAGACCATCCACATGGAGGGCAACGAGGGGCCTGAGCCACAGTCAGCCCCGGGGAGTGGCCTTGGGACCAGCTTAGAGCCACAGAACGAGCAGGAGGAGGCGAAAACTGCAGATACGACATTGACCAGGGAAGTATGCTTTGGACGGTACGATTGCACCGATGCCTGCCGATCGTAACAACGCATCGAGTTTCCAACGACAGACAGGAGCCACAGAAAACTGCAAGCGGCGAAGGGGGAGCCAGAAAGGCACTCATGAGTCAACGGGTTAGAGATCGAATGCCAAAGCAGTTCCTGGCCAGGGCCTCTGCAGCCGAGCGTCATGTCAAGCACACCTGTGGCACCGGTGTGTTCGGTTCTGCTGCTGCAAAACATGTGAGAGGTTCTGCGCCCATCTGGCCATTCTGCAGTTAAGCGTGCAACTGAGACTACCAGTCACGAGGACTTGATACCTTCGCTGACAGAGACCTTTCACAAGTATCAAAGGTGGGCAAAGACATTCAGATTCGTGGTGGCTAAAGCTTACGATGCCCCTTAGTTTTTGAACACTGTCTGACGAAGGCGTTGCCCCAACGGCCGTCTGCAGCCGCAGCCTGGCTGTCAACAGACGCCCGCAAGTTCTCCAATCCCATGCCCAAGCCAAGAAGAATAGCCGTGGATGCCCTCGGGATGCCATCACCCCTGACCCATGAAAGTTTAGCTGAACATCTGTCTGAGAACACAAAAACTGTTGCAGAGTCTTACATGTCCTTACCTCGCTTTATCTCTTTAGGTCGCTTGTTATGGCCTTTGATTCCGCGCTGCCCCTTACTAGCTCTGGCTACTCACCACTGTATTGCCATCACCTCTTGTTCTATTCTGATATATGATATATGCCTCAACAGGGGTTAAACGGGAGTCCCTAATTTCAACCAATCCTCGTATCATGGCCCTGCCATGGCCGGGTGCGGGCCTGCCATGAGCTTCTGCCGCCTTGACACCGCATTCTTCGCGCGCAGCGACAGCAGGACGGCCAGGAGAAGACCGACGGCCTGGACGTGGTGGGGGTAAGGATGGAAAGGCTTCGAAAGATGCGAAGTTAGCTTAAATCAGAAACTTACAAGAAGATATGTGATCTTTGAAAGCAATTCCTCACGCGTGAACATATGTCAGAGCAAAACTCCTACCAAGCTTCGCACATACCATCACCCTGCATTTGCCGGCGCCGACATGAGAGTCTCAGAAGCACTCACGGCACCACATCGACACAGAGACACCTGGATACGAGTCGCTGTTTACTCAAAGCCCGGTTGGCCAACACCCACAACAAATCGCCCTCGAATCTTTGCTGTGACATATTTGCCGCAGGCACCCGGAAAAAGGAGGTGTCCACCAGCTGCATTTGAACCTAAGCTGCGCGACAAACGAGGTCACGGGCGAAGCGAGTGGCCCAGAACAGCAAGGAGTGAGTTACTTGGCACTACGACTACTTTGGGAATATGAGGCCGCAGAACCTTCGAAGCCTTGCGGCACGGGTCCAAACCCCGGCATCCTAGCGTCCAGGAAGCAGCTCCGGTCAAAACCACGAGGAGGTAGGAGAAGAAGACAAAGAGGAAGTGCATCAGGTGTCGCGGCGGCATCTCGGTGTAAATCCTCAGCTTCACAGCAGTCGGAACCCTCAGTGCGACGAGCTCTCAGGCTCAGGAAGGAGCATGAGATCAACACTTGAATAATACCTAGCCCCCACTGGAGTCTAAGATCTCAAAGTCTTCGGTCTCGGGCTTCGGCAATCTCTTGGGACAAGAGCTCTCAGCCAACAAGCCGCTCAAAAATCGCCTACGCAGCTGGAGATCTGCATTGCGTTTCTTGCAGTGGCTCGTTGGAGCCGCATGTCGAAAGCTCGATAGAAAGCCACTCTCCTAATGCCGAGCCTCTTCACGGCTAGGGAGACTCCTTCAGAATGAAAAGTGGACATGACACTATTCATGAAAACAACAACCAAGTCGTTCAAAGAGACCGTAGGCGTCACTAGGCTACAAGGTGAGCTGCAGGCACCATTTCAGCGAAGGCTCGACGCAACAATTCCCAGGCCCGTGAAAGTCTCCTGGCACAGCGCTGAGTCACGGCAGCTTCCAACGTGCGACGCACAGGCTTCATCTCACCAGCATTATGCAGCCATTCCTGTTTTCGTTTCTCCTGATTCTACCAAACCAGTCTACGACGTGCTTGCCCGAACGTCGGAGAGGACTATATCCGGGGACACTTCCGTGTTTAAGCAACTATGCTGCACAATTGGATGAAAGCATCTGCGTGTCTCTGCTTGCGGTGTGTGTGTGTGTATGTAAAAATAGATATAGATATAGATCTATATATATATATATAGAAAGATAGATAAATATGTGTGTGTGTATATATATATGTATGTATGTGTATATTATCAAACGGACCGCATATGGTGCACAGGGAAGAGTAGATAGACGATGCACTCTGCGATGGTGGTGCAGTTGCCCAAATGCTACAAAACCGGCCTTCAGAGAGCTTCCACAAGTTGGGAAAAGCTCGGCTGCCTGGGCCAGGAGTTTGGGGTTCTAGGGTTTTAGGGCTTTAGGGTTTAGGGTTTAGGGTTTAGGGGTTTAGGGTTTAGGGTTTAGGGTTTATGATAGAATTTTCAAAAACCTGAGAGTGTTTAGATCTTTTGACGAATACCTGTGCAGCCACAAAAATAACTACGTATGCAGCCGCACGGCGGCAGACAAACGACGAACAGCAACAGTGGTAAACCAATTCGGTACCAGTTCGCTCCAGAAAAACCTGACTAGAATAGCCCGGCAACCAGCACTACCAACTGTATGGCCGTGCACCGCACAGTAACCAAACACGTGGGACATACACTTCTTCTATTCCGCAAAGAAACACAAGGTCACCACTGCTTCAAGTCTAGCACATACCAGTAACACATTACAGCACCGGCATGCTGAGCTACAGAGGGCAAACCGGCACTGCCATGTACGTATTCACTACATGGAACAAGCCGATGACAGCATGGCATGGCATGGGCGATTCACAAAGCACTGAGCTAGGATGCCATTGCCTGTACATCGAGAGTCCCCAGACACCCAAATCTGCGTAACAAAACTTAGCCAGTCAGTGAACTCCGGTGCAGGGGTTCGGGGAAAAGGGCCCAGACGCGGCCTGGGTCACAAACTCGGACCGAACAATGCTTTCGTCGTTGGTGACGAGCATTTTCCTCTTGCCATGTCAAAGTCTCCAGGCTTGCATGTGGCTCGATTTCGATTTCGGCTGGCTCACAGCTGGATGTTGAGGCAATCGGGCTAGCTGCTGCCTGGGACAGGCTTCCCGAAGGACCTACAACCTTCCACTTCGAGAAAGAAACCCTAGAGCTTTAAGGGGTTCCTTTGAAGGTTTACTATCAGGGGCAAGAACGCATTAAAGGGTTCGTTTAGGGGGATCGCAACACGGTGGCAAACGTTGACGATTCAAAGCTTCAGGTCAGACGCGCGAGATGTAAAACTCTGCACACGAAGGCCAAACTTAGCAGACTTCCACCAAACTCAAAGCCCTAAAGCTTTCACTTTCACTTGTACCGACATGGAAACCCGGCCTCCGCTCCCGGTTGGACCTCGCCGACTTTGCCGGCGATCGAGGCGGGCTTCGCTTCTGCACGGTAGAAGCACCAACGGGTGTTTGGGGTTTAGGATTCAAGGGTTTGGGGGCTTAGTGTGTAGGGGTGAGTGCTGACCACAAAACAAGTTTTACTTGCCTGACGATCTGCCCGCAAGCATACATCTGCAGAGGAGGGAGCGAAGACACGCCATGCCTAAAACCAGACACGGCTGAAACACGTCTTTCAATGCATCCGGGACCTCGACATCTGGTCCGGAGTCGTTCCCTGGCCACACGAACTGGAGATCGGTTCCCGCAAAGAATAGATCTGTTTGCTTCCATGGATTTCCTGGCTCAAAGCAACAAGCAACCCTTGACCTGACGAGCCTACGCAGTCGCAACATCCTTCCCAGCAGAACAGTGACAGGAATGAGGTAGGAGCAGGTTGAAAAATCGCAGATGTCCGGATGAGATCACCAAAGTTCAAGATATGAAGGAAAGAGGCAACAATCAAAGGGATGGGCACAGCATTCCTCGGCCTGCTTTTCATATAATTTCGCTCCTTGCGCTTGCTGCTTGCAGCCATTGCCGATTTACACGGAATTAGATCCTCCCTCCGGCAGAGGTAGGCCAACAGGACTGAGGGCAGGACCATTTGTAGGCAGCCGGCTGTACAATGGCCTGAATGCCGACGCGAGTTTCAAGGCACTTCAGCGCGGATGCATGGATAGGTCAGACATCTTCATCCTTGGCATCAGCCTCCTGCGGCTAGAATGTGAGAGCTGTCTCCTGCCCCTCGGAACACCCCACGTACTATCCTAAAGCCAAAGAAGCCCCAAGCTCTGAATTCCAGAATGCAGGCTGTGCTGCGAACTACCGGGTTTGGTAACGCCCGGTCTCCTGAACCCGACACTGCACATCGGAAATCCAAAGAGGCTCACATGCCCTGCCCTTCTGCACACCCTCTTTCCCACAGGCATGTTGCACACTGAAACCTCCTTCACCAGCTTCGACGAATGCTCGAACCAAACCCCTTGTACCATAGTATAATGCTGTACTATTATGTGCTATGATGTAGTGGTTAAAGGCGATTGAACCGTAGTACCATAATACACTATAATGTACCATGCTGTACCATAATCTCCTATAATGTACTATAATGTACTAAAATGATACTATAATGCACTATAATGCACTATGATGTACTATAATGATACCATAAGGTACAATAACATACTATAATCATACTATAAGCTACAATAACAATAACATAACTTAGCCCCTCTTGGGAGCCCCGCGAAGCCACAGCTCCTGGGTCCCAGGGCCGCATGTTGCCATCCATACGCAGGCTCGCCATGCTGGTACCGGTGCTAGGGATAAGGGCCTTGCCTCTATGTTATGTTATGTTATAGCACGTTATAGTACATTCTAGTACATTACAGTACCCTATAGTACATTATGGTACATTATAGTACATTATAGTACATTATAGTACAGTATAGTACATTACAGTACATTATGGCGCATTATAGTATAGTACGTGCTTCGGACATCGGGCCCAGGAACCGAAAAGAACGAAGATGGCGTTGGAAGTTGGCCCGAAGCTCCACATGCCGAGTCCGTCGTTCCGCTTGCATCTTGAAACTACCTTGGCCTTCGGCAAACATGTCTGCAAATCGTGTCGTTGACAGCGCAAAGCTGTTTGAGGTCGCTTGGTAAAGTGCCTGGCAGAAGACCGTCCCAAAGAAGATCAACGAGTGCCAGGCCAACAGCGGCCCCAGCAAAATGAATCCAAACCCCAAACCTAAACCCTGCACCCTAAACTCTAAACCCATGTGGTGTAATGCTGGCATGGAGTCCTTTGAGCAGCGTAGCATCCCCAAAGACCAAGGATGCTAAGAGCCGTCTGGCTCCGAACTTGCGAGCCCAAGTACCCTGCAACATACTATCATAGACCAAAAGACACGATAATACACTGTAGTTGGCTATAATATCGAAACTATAACATACTACAGTATACGTTCGTCACGAAAATATTTGCAAAGCTGCCCTTCACCAAGGCCATATCTATCCCGCCTCTGCGTCTGGCCCTGTCTATAATCACGACGATAGTGATAGTGATGGTGACGAAGATGATGGAGATGATAATGATGATGATGATGATGATGCTGATGATGATGATGATGCCGAGGACGATGGTGATTTGATGACGGCGATGCTGGTACTGGCCATGGTGGTGGCAGCGACGATGTAGTGAATGTCACTTGTATAGTGGCCCACTATCGGAATCGCCATCGTTGCACACATCACATGTATGTGTAGCAGCATCAGGGTCAACATGGTGATGATATGTGATGAGCACATCACTAGCACGATGGCTGTGTTTGCGATACTCCGTTCACAAGACGACCAGTAACCTGCTGATTCGATTCCACGTGCACTTGCAACTTTATGTTTACAGTTGATTCTGCTTGCCACTGGTGACTACTATGGCTGTAGCCAAAGATCCATGTAAACATGTATTCACTCATGCATGTAAGCATGCACAGACACATCCGTGTATGTATACACACTTAAAAGTATTCGCATATATGCGGGCCTGCATTCAAGCATAACTGGAAGTGCATGTGCACATGCATGGCTAGGTACAAACTAACTACCAACAGCATGTTGCATATAGAGGCACACCTGTCAGTGCATGCGTGCACGTAGATCGGTCTGCAGGTACATATGTCACAGTTTGCCATATGTATATGTATCTTATCGTTGTTGTATGTTCAAACATATAACGGTACCAGCCTTTTGCCCGCAAGCAGGGGCGGACGAAGATGAAAGCCACGGTCGCATCAAGGCTCGCTGCCCGACAATAGGATCCCGCCGCACCCTCAAATGTTTTAGGGTTTAGGGTTTACGGTTTGGGGGTTTAGGATACATCTTGAATGATGTGACTTTGCTGAATCACTTTGCCTGGCGACTGCAACGGTGAGAAGTACCAAACACTGCCTTCTCACCGAGGCGCTCAAGGATGAAACTTGCAAAGGAAGCCGAGGCCTACTTGGGCCGCTGGGTGCGGACTCTCTTGACGACGAAGATGCGGGTTTAGGGTTTAGGGTTTAGGGTTGATGCAGGATGCTTCGAGACTCCCGTGGTTTGAGAAGCCAAGAACGTCTCCTTGCGGAGCTGTGCTGACACAGGTCACACTATGCACAGAATCTAGATGGGCCTGGGCTTAGGGCTTCAGGCTTACTGTCTACCGTCTAGGTAATCCGAATTACAGTACATCGTAAGTGGAGCCTTGCAGTGTGTATCCATCATACTAAGGAACCCTAACGATTCAGGCTTCCATATTCACCGGCAAACGCAGCGAGGGTTTGCGAAAAAAGCCCAGGCACCGCCTAAGCCCAGCCCATCCAAGCTGCACCTCACTACGGCTGCAAGGACCACAGATGAGGAGACTGAGGCGCAAAGGGGTGATAAAGCCTATGGCCCAAGTTCTGAACGTGCTGGCTCTGTCACCATCACCGGAACCAGTATGTTTACGAGTTTATCCACACGTCCTTCCTGCTGCTGAGTTTCTGATTATTCGTAATATTGTTGCTATCTTCACTGTCTATACATGGTTTTTATGTTGGTTTGTCGGTATTATGCTGGAGATACTACGAAGATGGCGAGGACGACGCTGACGACAACTGCGACTGCTGCTGCTACTGCGACACCTGCCAGTGAACCCGGAACCCTTATAGCCATCTGAGTCCCCTGCAGGCCGCCAGAAGCGCTTTGTGTCCGATGCAGACATTGAAAATGCTTCCCGGTGCTAGACTCCTAGACTAAACGGCCGAAAACTGCAGGCTCTAACTCGGTTTCAGGGTTCTTGCTGCTGCTGGGCATGCAGATTCTTTGCTGACCCCGATCTCCGCACCGGTTGTAGGAGGGGCCTCTCAGAGCACTCCGACTGCCAGTTTGGGGCAAAGCGCCACACTTCCACAAACTGGAGCCAAGGGGTAATGCATTCCGGAGTTCTCAACCTTGACCTCCTGAGTCCAACCCTACATCCCCAGGGATGCTTACAGTTTTTGTGTTACTTCCCGGCACACAACTTGGGATCACGCCTGTGCTGCACGATCAAGACAACGAGACTTCAAGAAAGCCCGGTATGAGTAGGCACGTGAAGCACATTAAGAAAACTAAAGCCCTAGACGTGCTTACACGAACCCTTATACAATTAAAAGGACTCTGGAAGGAACGTCTGAAAGGAGCCCCTTACCGGAACCCCCCCAAACAAAAGCCCCCTTAAAGGAGCCCCCTTTTAAAGGAACCCTTGACAAACCCCATGGCTCCCAGCTGGGCCCAGCCCGGCCAAACGCCAGGGGCCAAAGGCCTCAGTCGCAGCCCGCATTCTTCTGAAAGCTGGTGCCATCGCCCAGTCCTCCGGTTTTGGGGGCTTTAGAAGGCTTTGTAGGGCTTCAGGGGGTCTAGGGCTATAGTATAGGGCTTTAGGGGTCTGGGGCTTGAGGGTCTAGGGCTTTAGGGCTTTTGGGCTTTTGGATCTGGGGTTGTTGGGTTTTGGGGGTTTTAAGGCGTTCGGGTGTAAGGGTTTAGGGTGTGCCCCTAAAAGACCTGAAATCGCTCATCTGATAGGCGCCACTCTCACATCTTCTCCGGATGTAACCGGATTTCCCGAGCTTTATCGTGGCTTGAAGGTCTCGCTTTGCTCGGTCCTTGACAGGTGAAAGGCTGGAACTTCGTGACATCGGACGGCACGTGGTCCTGCCAATGACGCAGCTTGGGCATGGACTCACGATATTAACCAAGGAATACGTCAGTGAAACTCTTACATATCACTAGTGTCACTGCAGAGGCAGTCGCCGCTATCGGCGTCGGTGTCGGCATCAGTGTCGGTGTCGTTGGCGTCGTCATCGTAGTCGTAGTACTATACTAGTAGCAATAGATGTGCTAGTGGTCCCAGTAGTAACAGCAGTACTAGTAACTAGTAATTTGCTACTAATAGCAGTCGCTGTCGTAACACAGTACAAACGATGACTAACTGACTATCGGCTCACGATGTATGCTTGTGAGTGTGCATGTATGGTACATACTACCACAGCCACGAATCGCTGTTAAGACTGAAACTTGGAAACTTGCTTCAAGCAGCACAGCCACTGTTCTTCTTGACCTTGTCTAACATACTCTAGCCGATGCCCCTAATTTCAGAACCGTCCAGGAGGTTGCGCAGCGTGGAACGGTACCACACCTGGACGTGGTGGGGAGGAGCAAAGGGAGGCTTCAAAGGACTTCGAGCTGACGTGAGCTGTCGATGCTGTCACAGAGGCCGCCACTCGCGGACGTTGGCGCTTCTTGGCGAAATGATCCGACCTCAGGAATGGTTCGTGCTTGAAGCTTCGGGGGCAAGGCGTTGAAGCTTGGACACATGGTCCTGCTTGAAAGTGCGACAACCACGTGTGAAACCCGGCTCTACATTGGCTGTCTGGTGCTCTATGTTTTTCTCTGCTGAGTCAAGACGAGGCAAGCCCAGAGACTTGCGATATTGGTTCTGGAGATACTACTACATGTCCTCCACTACGGCATGGTAGGGTAGGATACTGTACACCCCTGATTCTCCTGCGTCACACAACATACGCAATCAAAGGAAACGGCATTTGCTTTATGACGCCAAAGCCGCCAAAGGTAAAGAAGTTTCTTGCACGGTAATCTATGGAGCCAGCGCTACTGCATGTCTTGAGAGATTTACAGTTGATGTACACATGCACAGACAGAGAGCGACTCCAGCTTGCACACCTTCTGAGCCCTTTGTGTGAGTGCCGGCATGCTTTAGAACAGCTTCCCTAAACCCTAGACCTTGTAATCAACATCGCTTCCAAAGCCCATGCAAGAAACAAGGAAAGAAACAGCGAACGGCTGGGGCTGGCTCGTGAAGGTCACGTGCGAGGCAAGATCTCGCAGCGTGCGGCATCTGGGAAGAACAGGCTGCAAAAAGGTTTCACACAGCAGGCATGCCTCGCCTTCTCAATGTCATATCGGATCATATAACATACATATACAATACAAGTTCGATGTACGTGTGTGTATGTATATATATATATACATATATATATATACATATATGTATATGTGTGTCTGTACACACCAGATCATAGGCTATATATTGGGAGTTTGTAGCTTTCGGCTTTGTGACTGCAGCCGTTCTTCACACATCCCCAAGTTATCGCATGCCCGCACCTCTGGATCAACTTCAGCGGCAGCATCGGCCTTGAAAGGCGGGCGGCGGAACGGGGGGCCATGCTTCGGGGAATTGCAGCTGGTAATTCATCATGCTACATCTGAACCCTAAAACGAAAA